CTAGCTCTCTCTCTCTCTTTCTACCTCTCTCTCTACCTCTCTCTCTCTTTCTTCCCCCTTCTCTCTCTCTCTTTCTCTCTCTCTCTCTCTCTCTCTCTCGCTCGCTCTCTCTCTCTCTGTCTCTGGTGTGTCTTGCTCTTTCTCTATATATATCTCTCCCACTTTCTCTTTCTCCTGTTCTCTCTCTCTCTCTCTCTCTCTCTCTCTCTCTCTCTCTCTCTCTCTCTCTCTCTCTCTCTCTCTCTCTCTCTCTCTCTCTCTCTCTCTCTTGTAACACCTCTAATCTTCTGGCGCTCATATGACCTTATGCAGTTGCGAGCGCCGTAAAACCTCTACTAAAACAAAACTGACTGTGGATGAGTTGATGTTTTTGGACGTGAAAAATCAAGGGACACAAGAGATATTTTTGTCATTCAATTCAAGTACTATGTTAAATATGGTGACGACGGGAAAGGTGATCACACAACACTAATTCTGTTATCATTGCTAGCTCACGCGTATGTATGTGTGTGCGTGCGTTCATGCATGCATGTGTGTTTAAGAATCACCTTCCGGCATCATACCCTAAATGCGCACACTGTGCCCAGGAATTTGCTCATCAGTACTACAATTCTTGGTAGGTGGGCGCAGTGGGTCACGGAGAAAGTCACCAATCTTTTGAGGCTTTATTACTTTATTTTGTCCATGAGCAATTTGACTAAGAGTTTTTGGGGTTTTTTTTAGCAAAAGTTTTACGGCGCTTGCAACTGCTTAAGGTCATGTGAGCGCCAAGGGGTGGATGTCAACACAGAAGTCTTTACAGGGAATCGGGCTTACTCTGCTCACCTGACTAGCTTCAACAGCACAAAGTCTGTTTCGACTTTCAAGGCACCCCGAAAACAGCAGGTCACAAGAGTGTGACAAACATGCAAAAGTAGAGGAAATGGCGATAGTAAGGATTAGGAAAGAAAAAGCAGCAGTTCCCTGTTGTTCAGGTACAGCTATGAGCGTGACATTGTTGAATTAGCCCATTTACAATTCTACCGTGCATAAGAACGAGAAATGTCCACACTTTGAGAATGGCCTAAAGACACTTCGGTCAGTGGCACCGCCCGGGGGGGAATGACCGAGAGTGTCCCAGAAGAACTAGACAGAGCACACCAAGAACTAAATCCACAGCGATTGTGCCTTGTACACATTTCTGCGAGGAAGTGAGTGCGGCACTTTACATTGTTCACAGCATATCACTGTCTTTCACATATATTATTTCAGAATAAAGTAGCACATATTAACTGACTTAACGAGGTCAACAAATCTGCTGTCTTTGATAGAGAGATAATATAGTAGTAGATTAACACCCCCCTTGAAGCCAAGACACCTGTATCAACTCCAACCCATGGTGCAATCGAAAGTAGCCGCACTGTTGTTGTTTTTGTTGTTGTTGGTTCGTATTTAGTTTGTTATTTTTATTTTGTTGCTGATTTTGCGCAAGACAATAAAACGAAATGTATCAGACGAGGAGTGCAATGTTAAAACAAACACATGGGTCCCCACCACTCTAAGAACGAGCAACGCTTCTGTCACTTTGTTACTTTGTTACAGATTGGGTAAACAGTGACCACTCATCTCACTTACGATTTGTGTACGAGTTCTGGGCGGGGCTTATGGGTTATGAGGGATCACATGCTTACCTTTTCAGCAGCTGAAAATTGGTACCTATTGGTCAACAGTGGGAGGGGCCTACGCAACATAATTGGTTGGAGGGACTACCTAACAACAACGACAAGTGATTGGATTATGACGGCTCGCCCACAACGCCAGGGGCCAGTGCACAATTTATGACAAAACGTAATGGAGTCACTAAGGTGGTCATCTAAGACAGGTGTTATAGCTTAGTGTGATAGGGGTTGTGTGTTAAAATATGGTGGCCGCGGCCACGTTGGACAGGTGCCCGTTTTACACAGTTAAATTATATAGAAAAAACGAAAGGGGGGAAATGGAAAGTGGCCGTTTGTACAGGTGGCCGTCTTATAGAGGTGGCCATCAGGGCAGGTTCGACTGTATTATATATATATATGTATTCAAGGGTAATAATCTCAATACTTCGAGCATCATACCTACAACATGACATACAGAAATGATTATTTCCATCTTTAGTGGTTTTCAGTAGGAATATTTGTATTTGCCTTTTGAAATTCATTTTCATTTGATGACTAACTTTCCGTGGAAGTGCCTTTAGCTTCGTTAACTAGACACTTTTTTGTGGCACACCTATGCAAAAACATGCACATAAGCATTCAGGAAAATACATTCAATCAGAAAAAAAGACCCTGAAAATGTGTTCAATTTACAGCATCACAGAATTTAATGATCAGGACACAAAGGTAGCAGGAAGTATTTATAATATGTAGACATGAAATGCTGTTAGCTAAAGTGCACTTAGTGGTTGCAGTATGGATGAGGACTGACCCAGGCATAAATTCTTGTTGAGTCCAAACAATAATCTTGCACGATCAATGATTAACGTCCACATACACAATCAGTCTCATTCAAAGGATTATCACGATGGAAGACCTGGTACCCTAAACATTTCTCTTTGAAGTTTCTCCGCTGTCAAAGTTCCTTGAATCTGTTCACAATTCTCATTAAATACAGAATAAGCACTGAGTTTACTTTCCTTTGGACCAGTTCTAGTATTGAAATAAATAAAGAATATCAAAGATATGGCGAAAAATACGGCACCAAACTCAAGCTCAATAAACGCTCCCCATAGCAACAGCCAAAGCAGACACTTTAAGAAACGTAAAAACCACACAGTCCTCCATGACAATGAAGGTAAATCATCACAAGTCAAATTATCCTCTCCTTCATCTGTCCCTGTCCTGCTGGACTCTGGCTTTTCTGAGCCAGTGGATCTTTGCCTTGGCTTTTCAGCTGCGGCAGTAGAAGAATCTGTGGCCACAACATCTTGTTCGGGGGATACAGCTGAAGAGTGTTCACTGGGTCTCTGCGAAAAAGAATATGTATATATATATATATATATATATATATATATATATTATATATGTAAATAAATGTAAATAACTGTTACAAAAGCAAGAGCTGATAAACCTATAACATTTCACCGGCACACAAGACAACAAAGCTGTACCACATGCCCAGATTGAGTACCGTATTTAACATCATTATTTAAAAAGCCAGTACTCTGAAAGCTTCGAAAGAAAAACTACCCCCAAGCTAAAATACGAAATTTAAAATTATCAACAAACTCATTTAAGCCTACGGTCTACCTTAAGGTTTAGGAAAATCTTGATATTTTCCAAAATTTTCCAAAATTTTTTAATTAATATTGAACTTGATTCGTTCCACTGTGAATTGTTTTTCAGCAAGTTTAAAGAGCATAACAGTTACGCTGTATTGTCTTCTTTTTTTCTTTTTCCTTTCTTTGGTATCCTTAGGATTTCGAGGGGAGGTGCAAGTTTCGGTCCTGTGCTAAGTGGATAGCGTCTATGATAGATATGTTATGTCGTTCCAGGACCTTTTTAACCCCATCCAGCAAGGTCTTTCTTAGTCTTCCTCTTGATTTGAAGCCAGATTCTCGGGTTATCTAAGCTCTAACCACTAATTGTTTCTGGGGCATTCTGGTTAGATGTCCAAACCATTTGACTCTTTGACGCTCTATGAATTTTATTACTGTTGGTATTCAAGTTTGTAGATGTATGGTTTCGTTTCTTATGCGGTCTCTTCTAGTGACGTTGATGGTTATGCGGAGACACCTCAATTCGCATGCATTGATTTGTCTTTCTTGTGCTTGTTTAGAGACCATGTTTGGCACTGGTATGTTAAAGTTGGTATGAAGATGCTCTTGATGAGCTGGGATTTCACTCCGGTTGGGATGTTCTTGTGGCTGAGCAGGGGTGCTAGCTGGTGGGTCACTGCATTTGCCTTCGTAGTTCTTGTTTCTATTTCTTTGTGCGTACGCCCATCTTGCGTGAAGATGCTTCCCAAATATTTAAATTCCCCTACTTGTTGGAGCTGTGTTCCATCAACATTCTATTGTATTGAACCTTATTTCTTCTTGAGCAGTTCTTGTGGTGTCAGCTGCCTAGTGGTTAGGCTACTGGACTCGTAATCGTGAGGTTGCGGGTTCGGAGGTTTGAAACGAGGGCTCGACTTTGTGTTCTTGGGAAAGACACTTTACATGAATTTTCCCCACTTCACCCAGGTGGGATAGGGTACCCAGCTATAGACAGTGAAAGATCTTGTTAGTTTGTTAGTGTTTGAGCGCTTAACAGGCTGCTTGCACTGTATGCTTTCCGGGAATCTGAGAATGTTTCTGAGTGTTCTAAGGTCTGCTAGGGTAATAATATAGTGTAAAGCGCATAGAGCTTGCTTTCAAATGGGGACATGTGCTATACAAATACTATCTATTATTATTATTATTATTATGACTTTTCTTTAATCCTTTCGTTGCCAGGGGGATGCGTTCCTACTGTCAGCATTGATTTTCAGCTGAGCTTGTTTCCCAGGACAGCAGCCTAATATCTCAGTTGTAATGGCCGCATGATCTAGATCTAGCACACTCATGACATATTTCGTATACCGAGTCTTCGATGTCACTTTTCTCACTTTTCTTACTCCCCATTTCCTCTCATCTTACTCATAATTTCTAATAATCTGCAAATGTAAGTAAAAAAAAAGAACTTATTTTACTTTTTAAAGTCATTTCGATGTTTACGTTTTACGAGAGCACGCAGCTTCCCGCAAGCTTAGATCTGTGTTTATCCATCGCTTGAAAGCCTAGCAGTAAAGTAATACTAGCAAATTTGATCCCGAAACGCCCATCTTTTATTCCCGAATACGAATCTACGCAGCGCCTTTCACTTAAACTCTGTACAGAAGAATTACAGTCAGGTTTAAAGTATTAAAGTGGCATACATGTAACGTTATAACATAAAGCGGCAGCGAGTACCGAGCACATTTCTGCGATTGGCCCAAATATAGACGACGTATTTCCGCCATCTATTTTTGTCGTCTTCGGGGGTTCCCTTGCCAGTTGACTAGATCTCACCGTGGCGGGCCTGCTTTGCCGCTTAGCGCACGATGGGTAAGTCACAAGGTTTCATTGCCGACTGCTTTAGCTGTGGGCGCGCGCGCATGTGTACGTGTGTGTCTGTGCGTGTGTGCGCACACGCTTGTGTGAGTGTGCGTGTGTGCTACTTTGAGGAGGGTAAATTTATGGAATGGGAACTGTTTAGATTGTTTTTATATAAAATAAAAGATAATACAAATTAATACCAAGAAAAAACCAAACACAGCAAGATCTAATCAACAGTTACTGGCGACAGAAACCAAAGAGTCTTGGGTGAAACCCCGGAAGACGACAAAAATAGATGGCGGAAATACGTCATCTGTATTTGGGCTAATCGCAGAGGTGGGCTAGGTGCTCGTTGTAGCTTCATGTAACGTCATATATAGGCAACCAGGAGCGGCAAATTATTCCAACTTCCGTGACGTACACAGTATGGCACAGCGCTAAAAATTACTCATTTTCATGATGTACCAGGTACATTCTGAGTATTTTCAGTTTTTCAAAATTGCACCCTAATCAGTCAAAAACCTATCTCCACTTTCCTTTTTCCCCACTACTTAGCATCTGCATTTGTCGCGCGACCCGTGACCACAATTTTTGGCACTTTTTGGTCCGTGAATCGCGGCTGCGATTTTGATATTTTTCAAAAAAAACCCAAAAACCAGTCAGAGAATAAAAATTTTTTTAAAAAGGAAAAGAAACTGAACATCTTTACTTTTAGAAAGAAAGTCTATTTACACTTTAGCTTCACGTTGTCTCTTTCTCACTTGTTGACACCACGTTGATTTGTTTTTTTGAACTGAAGAATTACATTACATACTATTTATATTGCTGTTCCTTTTTTATTTTTCCTTCTTTGTTGTGTTTTAATTTGTTGCTGTGTTAATTTTTTTTCTTGTTATTGTTCTGATGTGTGGTTTTTCTATATTTTTTGGAGTGTTTATATAGCGTACTGTCATTTAATTTGATGTAGTTCCTACCTTTTTTATATATATGTATTTGAATGCGTAGTTAGAGAGTCTGAAAAATAGAAACATCTCAATGACCACCAAAATGAAAGTTCTGAAATGTTATGTGGCTGTGAATGCTGGACAATCACTAAAGACAGTGAAAATAAAATAGAAGCAGCAGAAATGTGGTTTCTTAGGAGACTGCTAAGAGTATCAAGGAAGGAAAAGAAATCAAATGAGGTAGGGCTTGATGAAGCCCACGTTGGATGCTCCGTGTTAAAAACAATCAGGAAAAGACAAATGCAGTTTTTGGGACACCTGAATAGACATTAAGGTTTTGAACATATCTAGCACTCACTGGCAAAATTGAAGGCAAAAGAGGCAGGGGTAGGCCCAGAACAATGTATTTGGGAAACCTAAAAAAATGGGTAACAGGAAAAGATCAGGAAACGTAGCTTTTATGAGAGCATCCGATGAAAGGAATGAATGGAGAACCATGATCGCTGATGTCTATAGCAGATGTGGCACTGGATGATGATAATGTTAGAGCATGTCCATCAAAACCAAACACTGACACTGGCAGGCCCCTTGTGTATGATTTCATATTTGCATCATGTAATATCCTGTAGGCCTACTTTTTCTTGAATTACACACGTTTAGGGTTAAAATGGCCAATCTTCGGATAGGTGAACACTTAGTTAATTTTTGTGGTTGTTTATGCGCTGTTCTAATTTTGATTTCATTCTGTTGTGAAACCTTTTTCATTTCACGTTTTTACACTCTCTGGCTACAAATGATATTCTGGAAGCTTAAAACAGAGCACAAGAAATTCTGGTGATTTAAATTAAGTCACCTCTATCGTAAATTTGCCATATACGTCGTCACATAGAGTTTAAAGCTTGAAAATTAATTATGGCAACTTTTATGGCCACTTTTTCCATTTTTGTAGCAACTTTTGGCAACTTTTGGACAAAAAAATGGCAACAAATGCAGATGCTAGCCTTACCGACTGCCTAGTGTAAGACTCCACCGTCATGCGCTGCTTCAAAAAGTGATGTATGATATGGAGTCTCACACTGACTATGGTTCATACTGTACTAGATAAATTGTTTTCCAGAATAAAACAGCAAAAACTTAAAAACCAAACAAATTCCAATAAGACTTATATGGTTATTGCTTTTCCCCCTTGTTAATTGATCTGATTCTAGATCCAGTTAAGCACCCCTTGAAAAACATCATGGCTTCTAAAAGGTGGGACCTTTGATAATCATAATGCATCCATTTCTGACAGAACAGGGGTTGAAGCTAAAATAATACTCATGAAAAAAACAACTCTACCACAAAGGAATTTAGACCTGAACAACTCTCTGTTTACGTGGCTGGAATGTGACAGCTGCTCCAGTCCTACTTTATATTATATTTATATTGATATATATGCACTGTATATCTTAGGCATTTTGTGGCGTGACAAGGTTACAAATGTTGAGGTGTTGGCACGGGCAAACCTCCAGAGCATGACAACAAGATTGAGATGGCTAGGCCATGTCATGAGAATGGACGACAACCAGATTCCAAAGCAACTTCTCCGAGTGTGATTTCTCCAAGGAGAACTTGCCCAGGGAAAGAGACAAGAGGAAAACCAAAATTGAGGACAAAAGACACTGGCAAAAACAGCTTCTCCAAGCTTGGAGTGGATGTTAGCATCTGGGAAGAAATAGCTGAGGACAGGAACACTTGGAGGAAAATGATAAAGGAAAGAACTATAATACTAGAGATTGAGCAGCCTTAGAAACAACCAGGCTGACAAGCGCCAATGACGAAAGGAAAACAGCGGAAATACAGAGCTTCGATCCACGAGACTGACTTGAGCCATTAACAAAACATGGGGAAAAACACACACATCTCACATTACTGTACATAAAATGTGATGCATTAGTATTTATTCCTCCAAAACTCATACACATG